CCTCTTGGAGCCTAAAGAAGGCTACATTTCGCTCGAGAATTTTAGAGTTGTAAGTTTATGATTTTTGCAAATTTTCCGGGTGACATTAAACTGTCTTCTTATTCTTAAATAATGACATACAATATGATTATATATTAACTGTATATAATGTTATACTCATCTGGTAGCTTCATTAAATTAATCAGCCTCTGATTAGTCTTTTATAGTTTAAACTTTGTTGTTGGTTTTATTTGCTGTTGTTTCCAAAATATCTAAACTGAAATAATAAGAAATACAGGCTCTCATGAAAAATGCAACTGATGCCATGAAGGAATCAAGGGTCCCTGACATTTTAAATTTGGTGAGTAATCTTTCATTTGTGATTTAGATGTATTTATTTTTCTTTCATTTCTCTCCATTCTAATATTTTAGTAGCCGTTTTGATCCTAGTCTATCATGTACCGTTTCTGGATTGATAGATCTTACAATAAACTGAAAACAAGTTGCATGAATGTGAGGAGACTTAAATGCTGTAACCAGCATGTCCTTCACATGTACTTGACAGTGGTATATAATGAAAATAGGTGTCAAGAAGGAATGCAAATGGTATAATTGATTAATTTTGACAGTGCAAAATCAATCTTACCCTGTTGATCAGTGCCACCAACATTGCTCATATTGGATTGTATCTTTAACTGATTTGTTTTAATTTCTGTTTTGTTCCTTGTGAAAGTGCATTATTGTTTCCTTTTCATACATTTATAATATGGAAAAATTGAAATGCTTATTTCTTGAAATAAGATGGAGCCACTCTCCTATAAAAAAATGGACTTCGATGAGTTTTGCGCTGCTGCAATCAGTGTATACCATCTGGAAGTTCACCAAGAATGGGATAGAATCGCTACCACAGCTTTTGAGTATTTTGAGGAGACAGGAAACCGAGTCATTTCAGTTGAGGAGTTGGCTCAGGTTTGCACATTATGGTGTTAAATGTTAATTCTGCCTTAGAATTTGTTTAATAACCCAATAAGACCAACCTTTTAATGTTTTCAGGAGATGAATTTGGGTCCATCAGCTTACTCTTTTATTGGTGACTGGATCAGAAAATCTGATGGAAAACTCAGCTTGGTCGGATATACAAAGTTTTTGCATGGTATCACGGTGCGTAGTTCAAATACAAGACACCGACAGCTAGGATAACTAAAAGGGAGATTTTATTATTATTATTATTATTATTATTATAATATTTGTTGAAATTAGTTTGTGTCTTTTTTCTTTCTTTAATTTGAATTGAAAGGAAAATGGTACGGAGTCTAAGCAATTTTTTTGGGGGGTTTTGGGGTGTGGATCATGGAGAAACAGAGCTAACATATTGTTTTGTTCCTCATGTGATTTGCGGTGCAAAGCAAAAATATCTTATTTTACTTGTGAGCCAAAATGCCACTTGCTTTCTTGTAAGATTTCGTGTGAATATTAAAGACGCTTCTGTTTGGGTCAACTTCATCTTGTGGTAACAATGTCGCACTTTGTTTAGTCCCTAAATAAATTAAGGTAGAGAAATGCGACGGTGAACTTGGTCAAATTCTTCCACGGTTTAAGAATATATTGCATTTGGTCTACAATCCAAATCCTCGTTCTAAACGATGTACGTTTCTCGTTTTAGCTCTAGTCAAATGACGAAACGTGCTCATAAACGGGGTTACGTGATCGCCTAACGCTTGTTACATTGTACTTGTATTTATTCAAAGAATTGGATTTACGACAGAATTAAAATAACCATGCAGGTTTTACAATATTGGGACTCGTATAAAACACAAGTTGAGGAACAAAGGAAATATAAAAAAAAATGAGTTAGGAATTTGGGAAACCCCGTATAGATAGAGACTTGCGCATTAAAGAATTGGAAATTAAAAGACCTACCCAACTAAACTTTGTCCACATTGTGAGTGTGAATGGGGTCTAGGTAAGGATAACTAAACATGTTACGTCATGATGAATTAAGAAAGAATTTAAAATGAAAAAGGATGCAGAGCAGAACATGGCATGTTATGTTGACGAGGGAGAGAATTGGTTGTCCAAGGCTGGAACAAGTAAAAAGCTGTTAATTTCAGTAACCTAGATTGGAATTGGCCACCAAAGATAGACACGGACTGGTTGAATTAATGTTCACGAGTGCTGACAGACAGGAACTAATTTGGGTAGGTTTATATGGTACCAATCATAAATGAATAATGTTATTTGAGCTTTTTTTATTATATTTTTCATAGCATTTTTTTTTCTACCACCAGGATAAGCATATTGCCAAACCAAAGTCAGATATGCATGAATTCAGAAATGAAATCTTTAACCACATGTTTATGAGAAAATGTCAATGTTTCATAACATTTATTTTATCTCATAATTTATTTAGATCTTTTATCATTAGTTTACTTCCGACTACTTGATATAGTTTCGCGTTTTGTATTTTAAGGATTTGACTCATTGAAAATATAAAATACACTCTAGAAATTAAAGTATAGTTAAAATTATTAATTTTAAAAAAATATTGGTTAATATTATGATAAAATATAATATTTAAACCACCAAATATTTGAATTTATTAATTTCAAATTTGAGTCCTTGATATATATGGTATTAAATAATTGGAATAATTACTACAACCCAAGTAGTTTTTAGTAACATTTGAAAAATGTAACTTAATTATGTATAAATGTTACTAATTTGTTTTAGCAACATATTATCAAATGTTGTATATAGTTTATATTGCTAAAGACTTTTAATAACATTTTTATATAATTAGACAACATTTTTCAAATGTTAGCAAAGTAGTATTTTTGTAACATTTTAATGATGTTGCCAATATTTTGTTAATTTTATAAAATGATATAATTAAGTTTAATTTAGATATATTACTATCAATTATTATATTTTTATGTCTGTTAAACTCCTAGGAATTCTTTGAGTAAGTTTAATTTAGATATATTACTATAAATTCCTAGGAATTCTTTGAGAGAAGTTTAAAGACATTCTTAATTAGTTACCACTAATTATATATAAAATATCAAATTTCATTTATCTTAAGTATAACTATATGATTATATATACTCTTTATGAGTCATTAATCTATTCGATGTAAGACTATAATTATGGATAACAATTACAGATAAGAGAATTTTTTTTTACTTGATGTGCGACTTTGATTTTAAAAGCAATTATAGTAAAATTTTTCAAAAAATATGTTGCAAAATAACTTATATAAAATTTTTTTACTCGATATGAGACTTTGATTTTGAAAACAATTAGAAAGAATAATATTAAAATAAAAAATGTTACTCTATCTATAATGACATTTTTTAAAAAAGTGTTGCAAAATAACCTATTTGTTTAATATATAGTAACATTTTAATAAATGTAAACAAGAAAATGTTGCTAAAGAATTAAAATCTAGTAGTAAATATTAATAAAATTATTGTTTATAGGAATCTACCTAACTTGAGCATAATTAAGCTGAGAATGCATATGGTCTTTACAAAAATAAATACAAGTTTTAACCTTTAATTTATTGTCAATGCTTATTGTTTCCTATATTTTAGAGGAACTAAATCTATATTTAAAGTGCTACTTTTTATTTTAAAAAAGACAACTTTGATCAAAATTCTTACATGTCATCAAATTCTTCAATTAAATAATAACACTCGGATATTATTTAAAATTCTGCAACACATGCTTAACGAAAGATACTAATGATTAGAAAGAACATTCATCATTTGAATGGAAAATTTGATGATAAAGATATAAGTAACTCTTTTTTTTTTTTTTTTTTTTTTAATATTTTTTATCAACTGAATAATGACACATGGATGCTTATTCAAAATTCTGCAACACATGCTTAACGAGATGCATTAATTATTAGCAAAAACATTCATGTGGGATGTGAACATTTTGATGAAAAATTGATGATAAAGATATAATAAGTAATTAACTTGGTTTTCACCTGCTAAACATGTCTTCAAGCATGTAACTAGCTAGTGTGAAAATTTAATTTGTAAGTATGAACGAGACACAAGGTGGGAAAATTTCAAAGAAACACCGAACAAATGTCTTGCTGTCTTATTCGCTTAGAAAATAAATATTTGATTTAAAAAAATAACAAAGCCAACCAAATGTGATGACTTTTGTAAGCAATTGGTGACTTCCCACAACCACAAAAGTTGATTTGCATTTTAGCATTTTTTTACACGTAATAATAAATTTAGAAATTAGATTCAAAGTCAAGATTGCCCACATTCGTAGGAAAATATGATCGCCATATTGTGTTTGTTGACACTAATCCACGCTGGATTTGCTTGACAGCTCAAGAATAGAATGTGCAAAACACTTTGATTTGAGAATCCATAATAGCCCATTAACCCGAATGTCATGATTTTTCCAAGAAAATTATCAACGAGTCCTTGATGCTGTTTCAGGAAAATCCTTGCTTTTGGGAGCGTAGATCCGATGAAATAATAGGAAGTGTGCACGCCAAATCTCTTTTGGACCACACAACCCGTTCACCAAACTTTCTATGAAATTCTTAATCACAACCATATATAAATATATAACCCCACCAACCAAAGCTAAGCGACTACACATATATACTTGATTACCAAAGAGAAAATAAACGACATAATAGCTCAAAAGCAAGACCTTCAAATTTTGTGTATGGACCTCTCATCATGAGTCCGTGTCCACTTTTAGCCACAAAAAATATAACGAGATAAACTAGATCTTGTATTTTTCAAGTTTATAAGGCAAAAAAAAAAAAAAAAAAAAATTAAAGAAGGAATACAAAAAAGAAAAAAGAAAAAGTCTACCCTTATCTTTATTCCAAATTCCTACCGTGTCTTTCACGCTTGCTACGTCCAACAAATTAACAGCTATATGCTTTTTTTTTTTTTTAATAATTGAAAACAACTATCTACTTTAATTCGTTCACATTAAAAATAAAATTGAAATAACAAAGAAAGACAAACGACCAGGAATTCATGGATCACATCACAAATCACAGTATACCTTTCAATTCAATTTCCACCGATCAAACAATGGTACCCAAAAATAAAAATAAAAAACCATGCAAACTAAGATCCAAATTTATCGTCGTTATCACATCATTAATGCAACACCACATTCTAGGCGTCGCCGAAAACAATAAGAAGAAAAATAAAATTAAACACGACATGTACATGATTTGGTATGAATTATCAAACTTTAAAGCACCAAGCATGATGATGGTGGAGACACTTCTCCCTATCAATGATGCCTTGGACGGTGCGGAACTGCTCCACGTAGCATGGTATCGTAATTGGTCCTTTCTGATCGAAGCCGTATTCATCTTCAGCTTCTTTGAGCAACTGCATGAAGAGTGGATGGTTCATGTACATCACAGGGATCACAAACCTCTGTTGCTCCTCTCCTTGCCCCACCAAGATCGCCAAACACCCTTTTGGAACATCCTTCATGTCCTTCTTCTCATGGTGGTGGTGAAAGTGGAGTTGAGGGATGTGAAGATGAAAGCTCATGTGATGATGATGATGGTGGTGCTTTTGATTATGATGATCACTAAGGATCCCCATGTTAAAAAGTATGATCAACCCAAGAAATTAAGCTAGCTAGCTAAAAAAAAGTTTAGGTTTAGTGAGAATAATGAATTTGGTGAGCTAGGGTTATAAGAAAACGAGAGAGAAAGGCCAGGGATCAGAGGCTGATATGGCGAGGTTGAAGAGGGTGAGGGAAGAGTCGGTGAGAGATCTTGGGATATTGCTCATGATAAATGGAAATTACATAACAAAAAAGAAGAAGGGTCGAAGAGGATTTGCAAAGGGTGATGAAGGGGTGTATATATATTTATATTGGGAGGGTTAGGGTAGTGGTGGTTTTACAATATTGATGTGAATGTGAATATATTATGCGAGGGGAGAGCGTTGTGGTGGGACATGCATGATGATGCTTCTAGGGTTTGCTTACACTGTACACAAAGATTTGTTTGTTCTAGAGAGAGAGAGAGGGACCCTAAAGCTTAGGAGAGTAATATATCTTTTTCTTCCTTAGATGATTGGAATGGTGATGTGACTTAATTTTATTGGATGGTCATGCTGCTAGCATATATTCTGTGTGATTAAAGTAAAAGCCAATTTCTATTCACAGCTGGAAATTTTTTAATGAGAATGCAAATTGCAGGATAATAAACACGGGGAAGAGTCGTAAATTGAATTGTATCATAAATAAATAAATAACATTCAATTCAAATAACAAGTCTTTTGTCTCAGTAAAACTTGACTTGTTTTATTACCGTTAAATTATGTTTTTCATATTTTTGTTTAATTATAAGATTCAATTTGATTTTACTATTTTTAAATAATTTAGTTTAATTTTTTTTACTTTTTAAAAATATTAAGTATTATCTTTGTATTCAGACAGAAAAATAACATTAAAATGAGATCTTGATTTATAAAATAACGTGATTGAAAAATATTTTATTAAAATATTCAGCTAAATTTTATAGAAAATTTAAATTAATTATTAATACAGTTGATGATATTTTACATATAGTTTTTTTTTTCTTCTGATCCTATATATTGACTTGGTTTTAAGAGGAAAGAAGGGAAGACTTTGCATTAAAATATTGTGGATTACGCAAGACGCTCTAATGCCATACCACACGTCACCCATATTCGTGATGTGGGTGGGTCCTTCCATCTTGTTCGAGTTAAGGAACCGTTTGAATTTATTTTTTCATTTACTCGGAATCGTCCTTGACTTTTTTATTTTTAAATAATAATATTATTAAAAAAGGAGATAGGGGTGATATTTTTTTGTTCTTCTACATAACATAGAAGTGAGCACGTTTATATTTTAAGATGGATTTAATTGTGTTTTATATTATTTCGAAAACAATTTTGTAAGGTGGCTTTTCAGAACTACTTTTAAAGGGGAAGAAGAAAAAGAAAAATACATTTTTTTATAACAGTTTTCTAAATGAGTTTTGAAAGTCAATATATACATATTTTTAATATATAATCAATCTTTATATGTAAAATACAATGACCTTTCAGAAAATTTTTTTTAAGATAACTTTTAAGAAATTTTTTACTTCATATAAAATTTAATTTTTATTTAGTTTAGTTATTTATAAATTAAGTTTTAATATTTTAGAATAAATAATTAATAAATAAAAATAATCTTGTGTTATAGCTTCCTCTTGTGGGTGCACAACTCCTTCAATAACTTAGCATATTTTGGAATTTGCTTGATGGAATCCAGCAGAGGTATGTTCACCTCCACCTTCCTGAAGGTCTCCAATATCTCCTTATCCACCTCTTCCATCTTTTTGCTTGGAATTGACTTTGGTGGAAATGGAAGAGGGATAAGAGGCTGCTGCAGATCACCACTATGTGCACTAGAAGAAGGTCCACCTGTATGAGATTTTTTGCTACCACCTGTAGGGGCCTTTTTCTCAAGTATAGGCTTAGGTGCAAGGTTAGGTGCAGGTATGTCAATTTGCTTGCCAAACCTTAAGGTGATTGCACTCACATTCTTTGGATGAAGAGTGTGAACAGTACACACAAATTTTTTGAGATGAGATAAGATAAGATGCGTAGAGAAGTAAAATGTACAGCATGAGGAACCAACTAGATAATATATATCATCCAATGAAACATACACATACCCCCACACTTATTCAAGAACTTATTCCCAAAACAATTCCAAAGCTCCAAAACTCCCTAAGGTTAAGGTAATCATGGTTTTTCACTTAAGGCTTGTAATGAGCTTCAAACAAAGAAAGGCAAACAGGCTCAACAGGGGTTATCAAAGGAATTAATTCAAGGTAGGCTTATTTGGCTAGAGGCTTATCAGAATCAAAATGCCTTAATCCTTTCCAAACATGCATGTGATCCGAGAAATATCAAACAAAGTCAAGCCAAGGATATTGTGAAAGCAATCCAGAGGCAGAACACACAAGAAAGAATAGAGAGCGGCCCAAAACCTCACACAGGGTAAATCTGTCACATTCAACTCAACCTCTCAAACCTCATAATCAACTTGTCAAGCAGAGAAAGACAGGGATTTCGATCCATAGAATATTAAGCAACTCATATCCAAGAGTGAAGTAAGTGCCTACCCAAACTATAAAAACCCAGAATTTAAAGAGAAACATGCAAAACTGTACATAAAACCTAAACCAAAAATAAAAAATAAACCCTAAAATCATATAACCAAAATAGTCCCCCCCCCCCACACTTAAATCACACATTGTCCCAATGTGGCACACATATAAGATCAGAGCAATCAGAACAATCAACAGAATTGGACTTGTGCAATAAAAGTAAAGAAGGAGAGAGGGAAAGAAAACTCCCTATGTCATGGTGGTGGGAGAGAAGCGGGGTCGAGCAGAGATATCTCCTCTACCACTACATTCAATAGGGAAGGATTGCTGAGGCCCATTAACTTTGAAGCTCTTGTCTGTGGATTCACTTTTGATCCTAATTGTACCATAAGGAAAAACATTAGTAACAACAAAAGGTACAATCCACTTAGAACGTAACTTACCACCCATGAGACCAAGCCTTGAATTATATAGTAAAACTTTATGCCCAACCGTGAAGTCCTTCCTAGCTATTAAGCTATCATGGAACTTCTTGGTTTTCTCCTTGTAGAACTTAGAGTTCTCATAGGCTTCCAGACAGATCTCATCAAGCTCACTCAGTTGCAACTTTCTTTCCTCTCCAGCCTGATCAATAGAGAAGTTGCAGATCTTCACAGCCCAGTAGGCTCGGTGCTCTACTCCACAGGAAGATGACATGCTTTGCCAAAGACAACCCGGTAAGGAGACATTCTTATGGGTGCTTTGTAAGCAGTCCTATGTGCCTAGAGAGCATCCTTCAACCTGCTACTCCAATCTTTCCTGTTGGGTTGCACAATTTTCTCCAAGATCCTTTTGATATCCCTATTTGAAATCCCGACTTGCCCATTAGTTTGGGGCTGGTAGGGTGTAAAGATTCTATGAACAACCCCATACTTCCTAAGCAAGGCCTGCATGGATCTGTTACAAAAATGGGTGCCTTGATCACTAACAATAGCTCTAGGTACTCCAAACCTGCAAAATATGTTAAATCTGACAAAATCCACAACAACCCGAGCATCATTAGTTCTAGTGGCTTTAGCTTCCACCCATTTTGAAACATAATCAACAGTTAGGAGGATATATGAAAAACCAAAAGAAACAAGAAAATGACCCATGAAATCTATAGCCCAGACATCAAAGACTTCATAGAACAACATGGGTTGCTGAGGCATCTGCTGTCTCCAAGAAAGGGATCCTCCTGCTCTCTAAAACTGCTCACAAGTGCTGTAAATCTTCCACGCATCCTTGAAGATGGTGGGCTAGTAGAAACCACAATCAAGCACCTTACGAGTTATCCTCTGAATGCCAAGATGACCATCAGGTGCAGAAGAATGACAGAAGTGCAGGACCGAATCAATCTCATGGTCTAGCAAGCATCTCCTGATTACCTGATCACTACACAACTTTCACAAATAGGGGTCATCCCAAACATAATGTTTACCATCGCTCTTAAGTTTATCAATTTGAGCTCTAGATGCCAAAGGAGGAAAAATAGAAGCAACTAAGTAATTCACAATGTTTGCAAACTAAGGGGTGGGGGAAGGAACAGAAACAGTTAACAAGTGTTCATCAGGAAAATCATCCTGAATGGGCAAAGTCTTCTCAATCCTGCTGAGATGGTCTACCACCAAGTTTTGTGCTCCACTCCTGTCATGGATGTCTAAGTTAAATTCCTGAAGCCAGAGCGTCCATCTGATCAGCCTAGGCCTTGAGTCAGTCTTCTTCAATAGGTACTTTAGCTGCATGATCTGTAAAAATAATGACACGAGAACCAAGCAAATATAATCAAAATTTATCAAGTGCAAAAAACAATAGCTAAAAGTTCCTCTTCCGTGGTCGTGTAATTTTCTTAAGTAGCATCTAACGTCCTGGAAGCGTAGTATATCACCCTAGGCAATTTGTTAACCCTCTAAGATAAGACAACCCCCAGTGTATAATTTGAAGGATTGTACATCAGCTCAAAGGGAACTGTCCAGTCTGGTGGCTGAATGATAGGAGTGGTGGTCAAGGCTCTCTTGAGGAAGTCAAATGCCTCCTTGCACCTGTCATCAAAATTAAACTCAATATCCTTCTGTAGCAAGCTGGATAATAGGAGGGCTTTCTTGCTAAAATCCTTAATGTAGCGCCTGTAGAAACCTGCATGGCCAAGAAAAGATCGCACCTCTCGCACGCAAGAGGGGTAAGGCAACTGTGCAATTACAGATATTTTTGCAGGGTCTACCTCAATGGCCCTACTAGAAATGATATGCCCTAAAACTATACCTTACTCTACCATGAAATGACATTTCTCAAAATTAAAAACAAGGTTAATCTCAATGCATCTATTTAGAACTCTGTCCAAACTATCCAAACATGCATCAAAAAATGATCCATAAACAGTAAAATCATGCATAAACACCTCTATGCAGTTTTCAAGAAAATCACTAAAGATACTAAGCATGCATCGTTGGAATGTTCCAGGGGCATTGCATAGGCCAAAGGGCATCCTCCTATAGGCAAAAGTGCCAAAGGGGTAGGTGAATGTGGTATTTTCCTAATCCTCAGGAGCAATATAAATTTGAAAATAACCAGAGAAACCATCAAGAAAATAATAATGAGATTTACCTACCAGACGCTCAAGCATCTAATCAATGAAGGGCGGAGGAAAGTGATCCTTCCTTGTTGCTTGGTTGAGTCTTCGGTAGTCAATATAGACTCTCCAACTGTTTTGCACTCTAGTGGGTATGAGCTCATCTCTCTCATTCTTAACAACAGTGAGGCCT